ATCAAGAGGCATCTTGAGAGTGTGATTATACCACTGATCCTAAATGGCTGTCAATAGAGTGTTACCCACTAGAGGCACTGAACTCTTGGATGGCTGATCTTCAAAGTTCTTAATGCTTATTTGCTTTTATCTAAATGCTTTAGATAATATTTGATAAACAATTTTATAAGTCATTCTACTGACTTAATTCCTGATCTCCAGCAGTTTAAAACCTGGTTTTGCAGTGTCAAGGAAGGTCCATTTCCTGGCATGGAGCTTAAGGAACCTGGCTGCACGTGTTTTTTTGTTCTAACTCATTAGTTTGAATGTTTGCATGATAAACAAAGATCATTTCTGCTTTGCTGCCCTACTCTGTGAACTGGGAGGTTATTCTGTAGATGAGGGAGATGAGCTTTGCATCACTGCTACATTTAGGCTGTTAGATCACTTAGTATAGATCATTCTGGCAGTTCAACTTACTAAGGAAGGGAAGGTTTTTCTGGCTGCTGGACTAAAGAGGTATTGTTCAGGCACATATAACGTGTTAGCTTGAGTAGCCTTGTCATAGCAAGCTCTTTACAAACTCTCCTGGTCCTGCAAACTAATTAATTTCTCACCCTTTTGCCTGCAAGGCCTAACTGTACAAAGGAATCTAGGCATGTTTCTTTTTAGAAAGAACTTAAATTTACACACCCACCAAGAGCAGTTTCTAAAGCTGCTTCCCTTGAGCTAATTAGATGTTGGTTTGCAAGTTGGTTTACTCAGAGACTTAAATTTCTGCTGCTGCTTCTTTCTTTTGTTGCACAGAGAAGTTGCTGTTGTGTCTAAACTGGGCTGATTGGCATTTGCTGAAGGTAATTTGGTGTTTGCCAATTAGACAGCTTTATGCCAGACACAAGTCTTTGCCCTTTAAAGAGTCTAATCTAAGAGAAATTAATCTGAGCAAGTTGGAAACAGTCCACCAAGACAAATAAGAGTAGCAGGTATTACGCCTTCAGATGGTGAAGAGGCTTTACCTTGAGTTTGATCTCTCCAAGAATTACTTGGATTTTCCATGACAATATGTCTCCACAACTTCCAGAGCTAGGATAAAACCTAGAATCAGTTCCAACTCTTCTTTCTTTCCATTTCCTACTCACCTGAGATGGCTTTTACTGTGTGAGAGCTTGCATCTTGTGCTGCAAGATGATATATTCACAGGAGAGCCCGCTCCAGACCTGTCTATAGGGTGGTGTTCAGGCTCCTGGGTTTGTAACTTGTCTGGACCCTCCTCTGACTGCTTGCATTTCAGGGAAGAGCTTTTATCACAAAAATATTGTATAAAGAGTAGCTAGCTCGGAGATAGCAAGCTGAGGGACGTGGTTCACATGCCTGACGAACAGGGTGCTATCCAGAGGGACATGGTCAAGCTTGAGGAGTGGTCCCAGGTGAATCTCATGAGATGTCAGCCCAGGCTGGGGGTGAGTGGCTGGGGAGGCGCCCCGGGGAGAAGGCCCTGGGGGTGCCGGGGGTGAGGAGCTGGTCAGGAGCCCCCAGCAGCCTGGGCTGCACCCCCAGCAGCGTGGGCAGCAGGGCAAGGAGGAGATCCTGCCCCTCTGCCCCGCTCTGGGGAGACCCCCCTGCAGTGCTGGGGCAGCTCTGGAGTCCTCAGCACAGCAGAGACAGGGACCTGCTGGAGCGGGGCCAGAGGAGCCCCAGCAATGACCCGAGGGGGGAACCCCTCTGCTGGGAGCCCAGCAGGAGAGAGTTGGGCTTGGGCAGCCTGCAGAGGAGAAGGCTCCAGCTGGGGAGACCTTCTGGGGGCCTGCCAGGACTGCCAGGGGCCTGTCAGAAATCTGGGGGGGGGAACCTCTGAGCAGGGCCTGTTGGGACAGGATGAGGGAAGATGTTTTTAAATGAAAAGAGGGAGGTGGAGACTGGAGAGAAGGAAGAGATTTTTGATGATGATGAAGGTGGTAAGACCCTTTCTGAGGTTGTTCAGAGAGGTGGTTGATGGCCCATCCCTGGAACCATTCCAAGTGAGGTCAGATGGAGCTCTGAGCAACCTGCTCTAGTTGCCCTGCTCCAGTTGCATATGACCCTACTCAGGGCAAGGGGGTTGAACTAGATGACCCTGAAAGATTCTATTGTTCTATTTTGAGAAACACTCATCTGTATTTAAATGCACAATGTACAGCTTGAAATTCTTCTTGGAATGGATTTTAATCTCTTAAATACCTATTTCAACCTGTGGCTGGTTGAATAAAATCCAGAAGAAATGGTAGAATTTCCTAGAAATGCTTCTTGTCACTGTGCCTAGATCAGGAGATAGGAAGCCCTTTCTGGTGCACGGGGTGTTGCAGAGCTGATGTTTTGACATCAAGCTCAATTTGCAAAGGATGCAGGTGTCTTGTACCATAACTTCTGCAACTACTGTACAGACTGTTCCACCTGTCACTGCTGAAGTCCCTGGGTGAATCTGGATCCAAATTATCTGCAGAACTACTAACGTGATGCATCTGTCATCTGTTGTACATGGTAGAAAACTCATGATCGTTTTTCTCCTGTACATCTTGTGTTATTCTTAGGCTTGCTTTTTTATTTCACATATATGGGGTTGTTTCTCTGGAATCTGAAGCCCTTCTGGGTTCCAGTTCTCATGGAATGATGGAGTTGTTTAGGTTGGAAAAGACCTTTCACATCACTGAGTCCAGCCATTAACCCATCACTGCCAAGTCTACCACTGAACCATGTCCCTCAGCACCACATCTGACTCATCTCTGACATCTTGATAGAAGCCATCTTACCTGCTGTCCTCTCCAAGTAGGAGGGAGATAATTCAGCTTTGCAATATCTTTATGCCTGGGATGGGAAAGGCAGCACAACCTTAGATACCTTGCACTGAAAAGCACTATCTGTGTAATCTCAAAGTGTCTTAACTTGAACAGTGACCTGTAGCAACCAGTTACCATTTGTCCAGGAGGAATTAGGAATCTGTAAATGTAGGATGATGTGCCCTTGGACCCAGAGAAGTCTCTTGAATTGTCTCTGGCTTTGCAAATATATGCATGTCTTGGAGTTTGGGTAAATTCCTGAAACTTAGATTTTATGGCAAAGCTTCTAATAACTCAATACAGAGCAAAATCCCTTGTTTTGCTCAATTTTGCTGTTAAAGCTGAAAACAGAGTCCTCTGGTTTATTTTCTATGCCCTTTCTTAAGGAAGATCCAACAAACATGGAGCCTTAGCTAGGACTGAAGATAAACTAAATGTAATCCAATAAGTAATAGAATCATAGAATGTTTCGGCTTGGAAGAGCCCTTTAAAGGTGATCTAGTCCAACTCTTGAGTATCCTGAGCATTTATTTTCAGAATCAAGGCAGAAAGTACTAAGGAGGGGGAGGGGAAAACAGACCATCCCCATCAGGTCTGCAGCACACATTGCCCAAGTTCACAAGTGTCCTGCCTCAGATTCTTGTGCTGGTCATATTACATCATTTTAAAAATAAATGGTTGATTGTGTAGAGGTGGGTTGAAGTAATCTAAAGTCTCTGGTCAGTAATGGACTTGAGGGCTGGTCTCCAAGACCATATATCCAGCACTTACTAGCATCTGTGGCACTTGCTATATTCTGGTTTGTCTCCTCTGTAAAGAATGATCCAAACCTTTGCAAACAAAGCTGCCAATGCTGTGCAGTTTGCATGAAAAAGGTCTGAAACAGCAGCTGAAATCTCAGAAGACAGCTGATGATGGTTCTGCTAGCTTCATGTGTGGCACGCTTCTCTCTTACTTCACAGTCCACAACTGTAAATTCTGCAAAGCAACTTTTCCTGAAGGTAATTTGTGGGTTTTGTGGTAGAGAAGGAAGTCCTACACGTGTATTAAGGGGCAGCCTGGGCAAAGGTAAGATGGGAGAGGAGATTAAAGAGCAGTTGTACTCAACGCTGCCCTCCGTTGAGGATGCTGATTTTTCACAGAAGGACTTTCTCATTTATCCTATTTACAAAGAGAAGAGGGGAAAAAAAACCCAAAAACTAGATTCCAAGATTTTCCCCTGCAAGACACATCCCAAAATGTATCAGGCCTTGAGGAGAGTTTCTTTTAAATGGAGTTAATGAAGGAGACCTGTACTGACAGCAGTTGAATCTTGGCGTTACATGTTCAGCAGATCAGCAATAGCTGTATTTTATTTTTCTTTTAAATTTTGAAGGAAAATTAACCAGCTGCTTAAGTTAATGTACAGCATTCTGTTTGCATATAGGGTGTTGATGATATTTGGGTAAGGATTAAGCCAACGAAGGAAATTTCACATAAAACCCCCCCAGATGACATAAAATGGATGTTCCAAATTACAGAACCTGGGACAGTGTAAGTGCTCTGTGGAACTGTATTAAATAGTAAAATCTAACCTGTAAATTAAGCTTGATTAATCCATTTTCCTCAAGAAACTGAGGTTGACGTTTGTCCAGGAAGTCTTGGGAGGATTGGCACAGAAAAGGAGATTTGGCAAAAATAATCCTCTGCAAATAGCAAAGTTACTTTTCTCCTTTAGTTTAGTTTAGTTTTCTCCTTTGTGCAGCTGTCAGAGAAGTCCACTCTTGGAAGTAGTTGCTCGTTGAGGGTTCAACCATTATCACCCTCTTTTGAAGAGTTTCTGATATCCTAGTGCAAGCCATAAATACATAAATAAATAGTCAACAGAAATAATTCATAAAAAGTACAGCTTGGTCCTATAAAATGGCGTTAACGGTAGGAATTAACGTAACGTGGTGGTTTCTTGGGTGATTGACTCTTCCAACCACAGAGCTTTGGGAGCGTTCCTACACACTCTTACTGGTGCTGAGTAAAGCTCTCCTCTGGGGTGTCTTCCGCAGGTCATACAGCATTAAACACATTTGGGGGGTTTAGCACTTCAGGAGCCAAGTAGTTGGCCAAATGGAGCCTGGAGTTGTGATAAAATAATTGCTTCATCCTTTGGTGAAACATCTGTCTTGCTTGGGAGCGTGGCTGACAGCTGTGATTTCTCCTCTCCTCCTTTTGCAGCGATCGACACCAGACATCCAGCGCAATTCCCGTTCCAAAGAGACAGAGCTCCAGCTTCGGCAGGTTGGATATTGGCTTCTCCAGCGGGCTTCCTTCTCCAGACAAAGGACTCCGAAAACGAGCCAACACCGGGAATGAAAGACTCCAGTACAAAACTCCTCCTCCGAGCTACAACTCCGCTTTAACGCAGCCCGTCACCATCGCAGCCCGTGGAGGGGAGTCAGATAAAAAACCTGGCTCCATATCTTCTTCCTTGGATACCTCTATGGACTCTTCAAAAGGCAATGCTAAGGGAGGTGAGAACTTGTGCAGCAGTTTCAATGGGGAAAACGGGAACCTGAACACCACCCAAGACAGGCAGGAGCCTTTCCTAGGACACACGAGTGCAATAAACGGGGCGGTTCTGCCCAGGGAGTGCTCTGGCACCACCACCAAGGAGCAACCCCAGGAGTTTCATCCCCCACTCGGCCCCGTCCTCTGCTGCACCGTGGAGCAGGCAGAGGAGATCATGGGGATGGAAGCCACAGGGTTCAGCACGGGAGATCAGCTGGAAGACTTTAACTCCATCCCGGTGGAGCACGCCGTGGCCGTGGAGTGTGACGAACAAGTCCTGGGGGAGTTTGAGGAGTTCTCTCGGAGGATCTGTGCACTGAATGAAAACGTGTCCAGCTTCCGCAGGCCGCGGAAGAGTTCGGACAAGTGAGCTGGGAGCAGGGATTGGGGAGCAGGCGTCGAGGTGATACCAGTGGTCTGGAACAGAGAGAAAATTGCACTTATTCTTTATATTAATTATAATTAAAAAAAAAAAAGAAATAAAAAAGCTAAAGCTATTCCTATGGTGTTAGACAAATGGACTTCAGCACGATGACGCAGGGTCACGATATATTCACAGCCTGGGTAAATTTTGATTCTGCTTCCAGTCTTCTTACGTCTGATATTTGTAATCTGTTATAAATCTGGGGGTTTTTTTTAGGCATTGGAATCCATTTATAAAAGCTTTCCTGGAAACAGCTCCTAATGCTGATCAGGCCCTTGTGTGAATATTTGTTCCTTTCTTAATTATTATTTAGAGTTTAAATTTATTTTAATCTTTTTCAGAAGTAAAAAAAAAAGTTAATTTAAAAATACCATAAGTTGCCATTTATGGGAAGACCGCTTTACCTTCTCCCAGGTACTCCTGTGTTTTGTTGAGCAGTGTAGTCAGTGTTACAGAAGTGTAGTGAATTTGTTATAATTGGACAGCTTTCTCCTGGCTGTGCTCTGTAGCCTTTGAAGTTCTGGTTTGCACTGATGGGTCTTCAGTTGGTCGTGTAAACTTGCCAGAGAACGAGCACCTGTGTGATACCTTCAGGTTCCTTGCACCTAATTAATAAAAAATGACATTTTTTTTCCTCTTCTCCTTCCCTCCATACTCCATGTTCCTACCAGTAGAAGCCTTGAGAATTAAATCCCCTCTAAGTTTTCATTTAAAAATCTCAGCATGACCATTCCCCACTTCAGCTGGGTGCAGACCTCAGCAGCAGAGACCTCATGAATGCTTAGCCTACCTAAGCAGGGTCGAGCTGCCACCTTCTGAGATGTCCAACGGGGACAACGTGCTGTGAGGCACTTCACAGGCATTGTCGTAAAAACCCAGACTGAAAAATGTCATCAGCACTTTGGAATACAGTGAATCTGTGGAATCGCTCCACCCTCTGTAGAAGGAGGCACTTAACATTTTTTTTTTTTTTTTTCATCCAAATTCATTTCCTTCTCACCATCTGTAGTCTGAAGGAAGAAGCTTCCAGTGGGGTGCTGGAGGTTCAGGTGGCTTCTTGCCTGGTTGCCACTGTCCTACATGTTCAGCTGCACTGATGGGAGAGCAATTTGAAGCCTGTGTTGTTGGTCCTGGTATTTGTTTCAGTTTGGATTTCAGTGCTCTTGCTTTCTATTATTGTATACCCAAGAACTGGGGCTCGGTTGGGAGCTCTCAAATATAAAAAAAATATATAGCAGAGTAAAAAAAAACACTTCAGCACGCCTGGCTTTTTTTTCCCCTCCCTGGTCTATGCTTTCTTTTTACCAATGACCTACTCTTTTTCCTAACTTCACCCTAAGGCTAGACTAAATTAACTTTTTAAAATGTGGATATGTAGAATCTCAACTATCTGTTGTCCAAACAAGACGTGTGTGTGAGAACCAATATACGTACTAGAATATGCATTTTTCCAGGTAACACCTTCATGGTGGTATTTAAACTATATTCACATTTCTTCTGTTAGCTTTTAATGGTTCTGTCTGTGACTGAGTTGTTGGATTAAGCCTTTCTACAGTGATTCATTGTCCTTGGTCAGTCCCAGGAGCACGTGCTAGGTGGAACCACTCAGAAACAAGAGACCTTAATTCTATAAGATGTTAAACATGGTTCCAGTTACAAACTTGGGCATGAAGTTGGATACGTTCATGAGGATCTTCTCTCCCAAGTAAGCTCCTCTGTTCCAACCTTATGAAAAGCTTCCCTCAAGGAAACACTGCAGCAGCTTAAAGTTCTGCCATCATCTTTGGGAAGAGAGAGGTCGGAAATTCTCAGTGTGCTTTGGTGTAGAGAGCCAGAAGTGAACACCTGAAAGCTCAGCACTTAGAACAGTAGAATCTTTTTGGGTGGAAGAGACGTTTCAGATCAAGTCCACGAAGAAGGCACGAGATGCTCTGCCCTGTGAGTGCATCTCGCCCTCTTTGCTGGCTCTTTGATTTTTAGGTGAGGTTCAGGAATGTTGGGTCAGTCACGTGCCCTGCGGGGTGGGACCTAGCACGCTCAGAGCAGCTCAGACCTTCTGGTTTTAGGCACTCTGGTTTTGCTCTGTGACAGAAACCTCATGTGTGGTGGTGACCTTGCAAAGCAACCCAAAGAGGAGGAGTGAGGTCGCTTTGGTTGATAGGCACACGTGGAGCATCTAGGTGCAGTTAGGTGAAACCAGGTTGGTAGAGCATCAGCAGGGCGTTGGGTTATTGCCTTTTATTTTTGCACATTTTCTCAGGTTGCACCTGACCAAATGAAGTCTATTTCTCCTCCAGGAGGTTGTGTTGCTGTTCCTGTTTGAGCCCCATGATGGTCAACGTGTCAAACATGGTGGTTGATTTGTGCCATCTGTGGCACAAAGCTGCTTTAAGGGGCTTGCTGTGGGGGTAGCTTTGGTGGGCCTTAAATTGTCCCCACATTGCTCTTCCAATTTCATCTCCTCTGTAGAAGATGCTCTGGAGGGGGACAGTGTCCATGGGCTGATTAAAGCATTGACAAACTTCTCGTGGATAGTATAGACCACAGCCACCTCATGAGTTTTTTTTTGTGTGTGTGTGATTAATTTGTTTTCCCCCTGTAAATTACTTTGAAAACAACGTAGTGGGAGAGAAACAAATGTAGGTTTGGAGGTGAGAGGATATATCACAGTGTGCTTTAAACTGTTGAGAGCCTTTCAGTTCCTGCACAGCTGTGACACTGTTAAATGTCTGCAAATGTCTTCAAGTGGAGAAAACATTTCATTGCAACCTTTTTCCCCTCCCTAGGAATTCCTGAGATTTTTGAGAATATTAGTTTTGGAAGATCATATCCCACTATATTTTTATAGCAAGCACAACAGCGTTGGCTTATCTTTGCTTGACCAGGTATTTAAAATAAGCAAAACCAGAATATCCCATAGTCAATGACACGTTAAAACTATGTCGGTAATTGTGGGAGAGCTCATCTGTATTTATAAAATAAAACTGATTAGTATCTCTCAACTGCTGTCTTCTCTTAATGGCTTCCTTGTTTGTGTTCTCTGCGGGTCTGATTCAAACCACAGCGTCCCCCCCAGCCCCACAAACTCTTTGCCTTATTGTTCATCAGGCCCATGTTGCTCCAAGTGGGAATATTTGGCCAAGAGGGTTTGCTAGAAGACCTGAGGGCCTCGCTGGCTCCAAATCCCATTTCACGTGAGGTAGCGCTGCGCCACCTTCTCTCTCCTTCCAAAAAGATGGCACGCAGCTGAAAAAACAACATGTGCAGCAGGGCTGGGAGGCAGCTGCGTTCCCAGAGCTTTCATGGAGAGTGGAAAGGCCACCTTCCTCCATCGGGGGGGCACTGCTGCTCATCCACCACCTTCTGTCAGCCGAGCTAAGGCGCAACATCTCTCTGCCAAAACATCTTCCCCTGGAACAGGAGTGATCTGCACGAGGCCCGGGACGAGGCTGTCCCTGAGATGGCGTGGCTGGTGGGCAGCGGTGTGGTGTGAAGAGTAGGGGGGACTTGCCAGCAGTCAGCAGAGCAACAGGGTTTTTTTGTTGGTCGCTTTTGTTCCTTTTTTTTTTGTGTTCTTTTCTTTTGTTTTCTCCCACCCAATCTGTCTGTCAGCAGAGAGTAAAATGCCAAGACTCCAGCTCAATAGTCCTGGAGCTGAGGTGGGAAGATACAGGAGAGAAATGTTGCTTGAAGCTGTTTTGCAGCATTGACCAGCATTACTGAAGTGTGCATTGAAGGGAAGAATAAACTCTCAATCATAGACTCCTAGAATGGGTTGGGTTGGAAGGGACATTGAAAGATCTTAAGCAATGGTGTCACAGAATCACAGAACATTAGGGGTTGGAAGGGACCTCCAGCGATCATCGAGTCCAACCCCCCTGCCAGAGCAGGACCTTCTAGACTAGGGCAGGTCACACAGGAACGCATCCAGACAGGTCTTGAAAGTCTCCAAGGAAGGAGACTCCACAACCTCCCTGGGGAGCCTGTTCCAGTGCTCTGGAACCCTTACAGTAAAGAAGTTCTTCCTCATGTTGAGGTGGAACTTCCTGTGCTGCAGGTTGTGTCCATTGCCCCTTGTCCTATCGCAGGGCATAAGTGAGAAGAGGTTGCCCTTTCCTTCCTGACACTCAGCCCTCATATATTTATACACATTAATTAAATCCCCCCTAAGTCTTCTCCAGACTAAAAAGCCCCAGGTCTCTCAGCCTCTCCTCATCAGGCAGGTGTGTTCCAGTCCTGCAGTCATCCTCGTAGCCCTTTGCTGGA